TTTTTTTTTGCTTGACGAAAGGGTGGGGCTGTCGAAAGGGGGGTTGTGTATGGTAACGGCTACTGGCGTCATTTTCTTGGCTATCGAGGCAACGGCTTCTACAGAGCCTGCCATATCATCACAGGCTTCGGCAGTCCTAACACTTGGATTGCGAGGTGACACTCGGATTACAATGGGAGGAAAGGACTTGTTTTGGCTACCTTCAGAATGCCGTGGTGGAGAAACAGCCGTCTCAGGACACTTGGTTGTGGTGGGTTGTCCGTCGGGACGAGTTGTTTTTTTTGGAATTTCCGCCTCCGAAATAGCAAAACTGTAACAATGAAATTCGACTCATGACATGATCCCACATGGATCATGGAACAGACTACTACAGTATCGCAGGCATCAGCTGTTTTCTATGCATTATTGTACAGCATCGCTTTGAGAGTTTCGCAGTCATTCCACGCTTGTGGTGTTTAGGACTTTAGGTCAAGGACAACTTTTCATGCTGCAAAATGCAACGGCCAACAAGGGTAATATCAAGATGAAAGGACCGAAAGAGCACCTGCCAGGCGCCATGGCGCAAGCGGTTATCGTAAGTTTTGTATGACCTCAACTAGTTGCCCCGGCTGACGTGATCCATTTCGTCGTTATATTTTTTAACCCGATCGGGATAGCCTGCTTAATTCGACAAGTAAATTCCTCAGCCATGGCCAAAAGGAGTCTTCGGCCCACTGCCGTAGTAACTGCAGACAGCAAATTATCTGATATACTCCCTTCGTGGACTGCGTTGATCCCATAAGAACTCGTTGCCAGAGCATCGTCCTCCCTCCTTGTTGAGTTGTGATGACAAGATTCCAGTCGTGTCCTTGGATGATGATGCCCGGTAGGAAGTCTGGAAGTTTTGTAATATCCATCTGCATTGGACAGGGATTCTGGTCGCGAATCCGTGCTTTGTGGGCCTTATATGTCTCCACCAGATGGCGGAGGAAAGCCCATCGTGCTGCATCCCAAGTGCCAAGTTGCAGCTTCGCCTTGTCCCAGGCATCTCCGGGTTTCTTAGTCTCAATGCTGAGTGCGATGGGACGGTTCCGTAGAGGGAAGAAATCGGTATGATTGATGACCCCGCAGAGAAGAATTTTGGAAAGAACATCTAGATCGGACTCGGCTTCACCATAAGATGGATCTTTCTTGGGATCGATGTAGATGCAAAAGTCAACCCTTTTCGTGCGTGATATTGATCGATGGTACTCGCTGATTATAGACGCCGTCGAGCTGATGTGTTTGGAAAAAGTCAGCTACATATACATCGAGATTTAGATAATGATTATCATCTTACCTGCCCATGGAGCCAATAAGACCAGGACGACTTCCTGAAGGCTCAAAAGCCATGTCAAGGACCCGGCTATGCACAGATATATTCCAATTGACCTCGGGATGGTTGTTCTCGCTACACTCGGCTGCTTGAGAAACAATCTGACGAACAGCATCGGGCATGGGGGTGCACCCCAGAGCATCACGATCTGGAGAGTAGTGCTTATTGCTCCTAGGCCCTAAACGTGCCCACCTCATATCCCAGTACTCTTCAGCATCAAGCATCTCCAACATTGCTTGTGACGCTAAAGGGAGGATGCCCTCTGCGTAGGCGAAGACGTCGATTCTTTCGAGGAGGGCCTCAAGAGAGGGCGGCTGTGGGTGGAATGTGCTGAGATCGCGCGGCTTGAGCCCATTTTCATCGTGCTCTAGAGTATTGAGGTCTCGCAGAGGTGATGACTGCCCAGACTTGGTGGATGTATGATACTGCGACTGAGACGCAGGGAGTGAGCAGCTTGATTCGCTTCGAAGACTTTTGGGCCGTTTGTTACGCAAAGGCTTAGGTGTCAGGTCTTCATGAGCGTAATCCTCTATAGACCGCTTAGAGGGACTCCCTGGTTGAGAAATATGAGACATTATCGAGGCCTCTGGCGTGAGAGGCTCGACTCGACGGCGTTTACTGGGAGGCTTTCGAATGGGTTCTTCGAGGGCTGCTGGTGATTTCGTTTCAGAAGGTAAAGCAGCGAGCCAGGAGAGAATACTATCAACCTCTTCCATCCTCTCAAAACGTAGTTAGTCGAAAGTGCAGGTCGAGATGAAGCGTTAGTACAGGTGGTTCATACAATCAGGTGGAAAGATGATGATGTTGTAATGTTTTTCCGAGGTTGGCATGGAAACGGATAAAACTCGGCTCAACAACATTCCCCATGACGATCTTGAGAATTAAGTTGGGTGCACGGGCCAGGTTTCCTTGTATCGAAACCATTATGTAACGTTATTTCGTAAGCAACATTTTGGCGGGGTTAACGTAGTTGATAAGCGAATGCTCCAGACAAGCGAGTGCTCCACTGCACTGTATAACTAAAAATAGCCTACCCTATAGCACTTTTAAGCTATAAATAAAATAGCTAAAAATCTAATAAAAGTATTTCTTATAATAGTATAGCTAGCCTTATTAAATTATATTTTTTAAAGATTTTTAGCCATTTTTTAGCCATTTTATTTCATATAGAAAAGCCCAAATACACAGTGTAAATACACTTTT